TGTTGGCTGGAGGATTCTGGGAGTTGAAGTCCACATATCTTAAAGTTGCCAAGGGTTAAGACACACTGCCTTAGAGTGTAGGTAGATCACAGCAACCGGTCACCAAGGGCCTCAAACTTTCTCTGTACAAAAGACCCCCTTGCCACCCTTCAAATGGGGCCACTTGGGGCCTTCAGGGGCCGCGTTGACTGTGTAGCCTCAGTTGTACCCCTCCCCTGGCAGAAGGTAAACTTCAAGCAGGCGCACCGCTGCCTTTTGCACAAGGTAGCCATGCTGGGAGACGCTGGCTGCCAGCTCATTACAAAAAAGGTGCGAATCCAGAGGAGATGAAACCAGATCTGGACAGGAAGCAGCAGGAGCAGGGAGTCATCGTAGCATCAGCTTCTGTCTGCCGTCGGTCTCGGCCAAGCAGGATGTCTGCCACAGGCCGGGTGCCTGTGTCACTAAGCTCACACAACACCCCAAGCCAGGCTTCAGGGATGTGGGTCATTTAGGTTCAGTCTGTTGTGGAAGCCCAGCCCTTGTCCACCTGAGTAGCGTGAAGTATTGGGCATTACATGTCAGTGAAGAGAGGAATCCCAGGTTTAATAAGTTGTGTAAACTCAGCCTCTGTCTACAGCAGTGTTTCTCAACCTCAGCAACTTTAAGATGTGTGGACCTCACCTCCCAGAATTCCCCAGCCAGCTGGCAGGGGAGTTCTGGGAGTTGAGGTCCACACATCTTAAAGTTGCTGAGGTTGAGAAACCTGGTCTACAGGGATCTACAAACAGCAATTTATTTTATTTATGTTCTTTGCTAATTGCATTCCTATCTCACTTTTCCTCTGGGAGCTCCTTTTGGTATATATTGGGAGGGATCTCACGTTCTCTCCCCATGAGGTATGAATGGCTCCAGGTTGCCCAAATGCCACGATCTGGTGGAGACCTAAATCTGGGTTTCCCAGTCTGCATCAAACACCTTAATCGCTTCACTACATTCTTCAGGTAAGGAGGGAGAGAAGAATATTCGGTTTAATTTTTACTTTATTTCTCTACTGCTCTTCTTCTTAGAAGAGAGAAGAGGCACACATAGAGGAACCAAAGGCTAATAAAATACTATTGTAAAAGAACAACATCTAGTTCGCAATTGTGGGGCTTGTAGAGCACCGAAATGTGGAAAAGTAAAGTAATCCTAAACCCAAAATGTCCTTTGGCGGCCCTGGTTCCGTCCTGTTCATCTTGTTTTCTCTCTTCCAGACCCAGCCTGTTCCCAATCCTGTGGCCTATTTCATGCACCATTCGCCCTGGTGGTTCCATGCGTTCGAGACGCTCTTTAACCATTTCATTGAGCTGATAGTGCCTTTCTTTGTCTTCCTCGGGAGGCGCATGTGCCTGATCCACGGCGTTCTACAGATCTTCTTCCAGGTGAGAGCAAATAAAGGCTCCTTCCTCCAGCCAAAGGGGCATTCACACAACAGGGAGAGCCTGGTTTGGATTTAACCCTTTTTCTGCATTCTCACAGTGCACAAAACTAAAAAGGGGATGAGTCTGCTAAATACACCAATTGATTGACCTTAGAGAGGTTTTCCAGGGGCCAAATGCAGTAAACACAAGACCCAAAGTGTGATCCAAACAACAGACCATGGGGAAACTGGTCATTATGGAGTTCTTGGTGTTCTCTGAGCTTGGTTGTTTGCTTGCAGACGTTTCATTACCCAACTAGGTGACATGATCAGGCACTGATGTTACTTCATTGATGTTATCTAGGTGGGTAATGAAGCGTCTGCAAGCAAACAGCCAAGCTCAGAGAACACCAAGAACTCCACAATTCAACCCTTCCATTGAAACTGTTGTTCTGTGCTTGTTTCCCTCGAGTGAGAAGACCTGTTGTCATAGAACCAAAGTTAGGGGCATAGAAACACCACTGCCGGTTTTGATCCTTCTTCTGATCCTTCTGAGTTTTCGGTGGCTGATGCTAGTTTTTAAAATGTATTTTGGGTTTTGCATGCCATGCACGTCCTCAGTTACTGAGCTGAGGTTACGTGGGGGCCCCGTGGTGAAACCCTCCGAGGTGCTTTCTGGGATAATCCGTCAATAAACATTTAAGAACAAACAAACCCCAAATCCCTGAATCTCAGATGCAGGACTTCTATTTGCTGTAATAGATGTTTACATGTTTACAAAGTTTCAACCAAAGATCTGCCCGACTCTGAAAAGAGAAATTGTCTACAGTACCCGGCTTGTAATGGTCTGCTTCTAAATACATTCCTCTTATTGCTCCTTAATTAACATTTAATGGATGGATGGCAATTAGTAACTGACTTTCTTTCCCAAAGGAGTCTAACAAACAAGAATAAGTCCCAGTGTTGCTCTTTGGCAGTTGGAGGATTTTAACTCACACACTTCTGTTTATTGATTATTTACTGTTCTTTTCTTCATTCAAAATGACTGTTATTGGCAGAACCTCAGCTCCACAGGGAAACAATAGAGTTTTAATGTCAATATCCCACTTGATTTGGCTTTTCAAGATTATAAGGTTTTATTAGGCATTTTGTAAGTGTTATACTGGAGTCATGGGGGCTAAGCTTGGTTAACTGCATTTTGCCAGGTTACTCAGCAGGCCCAGGCAAAATTTGTTGGGCCAAAACTCTTCTAACTCACCTCCATTGCATGCACATTGTGCATGCATCCACACACACACACACTCACACACATGCTTTCACATAAAGGAGTAAGTTTTTCTGCTTCCAAAATGTGTGTGCGAAATGGGGTTTTATGAGAAGTATGCATGTTTCCAGGTCTAAGGAACAAATTCTTCCCTTGCTTTATAAAGTGTGTGTGTGTGAGAGAGAGTGATATGCACACATACACACAAAAAACCTTGCTTTAGTATAGGCAGATATAAAATTGGAATCCCCTTTAGCGTTTAATTCAAGAAAAAGAAGGCTTCCAATGTGGGTTTGTCAAGTTGGTGCCTTCTCTTTTGCCCACAGTCCAGACTCCAGCACATCTCTGCATCTGTGGACATTTACTCTTCATGTATTCTTCCGTGACTAATGTCTCAAGAGCAAAGTGGTGGAGAAAAGAGCTCGGGTTAGTTAGCTAGTTAGCTAGCTAGTTTTTATTCACCAAGGAATAACACAGGGCAAAGAACAAACAAAGAGAATCTTATCTCTCTTGGTATTCTTGGACATTCAGGTTTCAGCCAGGAACTTAGGAATTATCCAAGTAACTTCTTAAGATCTAACATGTGCCCAGCAAGGTAGGTTTTTTTGTTAATCCAGAGATGATATAGTCAAAATATTTAGTTCTTGTAAAAATGTGTTTAATCTGTTTGTAATTCTGCCTAACGCGCCAGGCATTAAAGGGATGACTTCACAAGATCTTCTCCATAATCTACCCGTTTCAATAGTTAGTTCTCTGTATTTTGTGATTGTTTCCAGTGCTTTTTCCTCTGTGTTCCTGCCCCCAAGTATTGCTGCATCTACCAAAATTACTCTTTTCTTTTTGATTATATTTATATTTGGAGTGTTGTGTCCTAGGTGGCAATCAGTTCATATGAGAAAATCCCGTAAAAAATTAACATCGTTGTCAACAACTTTCTCCGCGTTGTGATCTTATCACATCTGGAAGACTCAGAAAGTATCATTTTGCACAAATGCCAGTTGTTCCTGTGGCTACTCGGCAATGATGTTGTTTATACTTGTCTGAGCAGTTTTGCAGCATCCGCGAATTACGCGATTCACTGTTTCAGTTTTTGATTTCCAAAGTCTACCTTTGCTGCTGTTTCGTTTCCTCTTAATAGTGTCAGTATGTAACCGTTATCGATTCCTGGTCTTGTTCAGTTTATTTTCAGTAATTTCTATCATCATCACTATTAAATGATGATGGTGAAGATGATGATGATGGTGGTGGTTGGTTGGTCGCACCATCAGCCAGATGTTTAGACTGGATTTGGCATTTTTATCCACTTATCGAGTCCTTCCCAAGGATCTGGGATAGTGTATTGTTATTGTCCGTTGCTGTTGTTATTGTTGCTGTTATTAATATTGTCTCTTCTGATGAGTACTCAGCAAATGCCTGGTAATTTAGGGTCAGTTCAAACTTTCTCCCAAAGCTTAAAGATTGTCCACTGTTGCAATTTATACGGAGTTCCAAGCAAACCTGTTTTTTGTACATGTAACTGTACAATGTAAAATGAGTGAGGTCAGATCGTTTTATTTTGTCATTTGTTCTGACATTTCCATTGTTATAGCTCCTAATACTCCAATAATTTGGGGGAAAAGTGCTGATTTATTCCATAATCCCTGTTTTTCAGTTGTTAAATCCCAGGATCTTACAATCTTTGCCAGTTCTGCTTGAGCTCCTCTGCTGTCCTTCAGTGCTACTGCTTCCATATGTGAAACTTGCAAACTGGCCCTGATCTAGATGTTGGTGCATCTGAATTTCGAAGTTCAGTGGTGATGGGTGATGATGAGAAAGATGAACCAGGTTTAAATGCCATCAGACTGGTGTAGTAGAAAAGTGGCCCCTTAAAAATGCATGTTGGAAAGTTTGATTTTGCCAAAGCATTGCAATGAAAATATTCAGGAAAAGTAACCCTTTTAGTCTACCAAAACGAGCACACAAAATGATATGCAAAGGCCAAATTATAAGTCATTTCAAGAGCCCAGGGACATCACTAGGACTGGCCCCAAATGGTCCCCTCCTTAAACAAACAAACAGAAAAATGAAATTCGGTAAAATTAAACCAACAGCTGGCCTGCTTCGTGCAAGGGATGAGCAAAACGGGTTGTGCACGAACTATTCCATGCACAGAATCGTGGTTTATCCTTGAACCACAATATGCCTGTCTGGTCCAGCTGCAGAATGAAATGGGAGTGTTCGGTCCCAGGAATGGACTGAAATGCAATTGCTGCAGGAGCAGTTTTGCGGGGGGAGAGTAGAAAAATGCTGAGGGGAGGCAAGAAAAGATCAGGGGCAGAAGTTCTCCTGGGTGGCACATGCTGCAGTGGGCATTGCCCCTCGGGGGTGGGGGAGGGAGTTCTTTGGAGGGGGGCAATGGTGGAGAGAGGAGATGCCTCCCCTGGAGCTGCTGAAGGGAGAAATTACACAATGAGGCCATCGCTCAAATGGCCATTCCCAGTGATGGCGGACTTTCCAACTGAACAGATAATCAAGCAATAACAATCATGCCTCTCCACAGTTCATCTCTTAAACTGGTGCTTCACTGAGATAAAGACGAGGCTTACCTAAACAGAACATCCAGTCAGTAATATAAAATAAAATAAAACATGGCATTAGCACTTCAGATCTGAGCCAGCTGCAGTCTGAAGATGCTGTAATGCTGCCCCATGTTTAGGTGTGCTCAAGATGGAGGCCAAACCCTGGATTGTTTCATGTGGTGCTGAAAATGAAGCACTCCCTCCATGCCCTGAACCACCAATTGCCAAGCTCCATTTTAGCGCAGCCTATTGTAGGAGGTTGGGTGAGCCTAACCATTGAGTAAAAGATGTCTTAGTGAGCTTGCTGTCCTTGGGTGTGATGCCCTTTCAGAGCTTTCCTCCAGGAGTCGTCTTCTCCCCCCACGCCCTTGACCATGGGAGAACTTCAGTTGTGAAGTCGCTGGTTCAGATTTATTCTTGGCCCAAGCAGTGTGGAGTTGCCTTTACCAACATGGCAACTGCTCAGGGAACCAGCCCCCAAAGACCCTTCTCATGTCCAGGCCTGGTGAGAACACCAGGCAGCATCTGGGAGGCTTGGAGAATCAAATGCTGCTGAAGAACCCACAGATGTGGTGCTCTTTTTGCATGATGGAGGGTGCTGGCTGAGCTCAGGTGTCTTTTGGAGAGGCAGGTTTCATGGAGGTAAAAGCTTAACCTTCACACAAAAGTGAGAAATGCTCAAAGTTATAGTGCAGCAACCTTTGTAGGGCCTCAGGGACCATCCTCCCCCCCACCGCCACTTTAAGACCAGGAGCGTCTGAAGGGAGTAAAAGAGTCAAGAGGATGGCCATGACCTGCAATCAGGGCTCTGTCCCCTTTTACATGAATTGTGCATGCATGGCACATGAAGCAGGTCAGGGCTTTTCCCACAGTTGCAGCCACTCTCTTGACTGCCCCCCCCCCGACACCACTGGAAGGAGGGACCTGAAGGACCCGGAACTTGATTGTGACTATCCCAGAATGTTAGTCGTGCTCCCTTGTTGCCTGGCCTGCAAAATTCTAAAAATAATGTTTTGCAAACAAAGCTCTCTGTTTAAGCCTTTGCCCCCTCGCTTGCAAAAGGTTTCTTGGGGGGCTGAATGTCTGCTTTGATAGGTTGAGCTCCAAATTGTAAGGGGTGTCCTCCAGGATGCTGAAAGGCTTAGAGAGGCTGCTGAGCCGGGCCTTAATTTGACTCCCCCCATCTGGTGTCCTCCAGAT